AAACTACAAATCACACATACACAACAAAAATGACAAAGCTCCAAAAGATAATTTCACAACAATAATCCCAAGTATAAAATGGTCAACATAAATCCATTTCCAACTATCCTCTCATCAACACAAAACCTCAGTTTCGTCTTTAGGCAAGATTTTTTTATACCCTGTTTTGCGAAGGTCATCAGAGGATGGCGGAAAAAAAAAAACATTTTGTTTTCTTATTTAGCAAGATTTGCCAAAAACATTCAAATGGAGGAGAAAATAAACATTTTATTGGTGAATGTAAACAGTGTAGTAATGGAATGGTTAAATGCTTTAAATTTATATTTAGAAAGAAATATACCTATTATTTGGTGACCTCAAGGCAGCAGTGGGCGTAATAAAAATCAAGAAAAAAACTTTCATGTTTCCTGAAATTTCATTTTTTTTCATGGTGTGGGTGTGCTAATTGGCCCAAAATTAAATTTTATTTTTATCTGAAATCATCATTATGCTAAACAAGGTATAAACAAGTTGTCACTTTTAGTCAGGCTTAATAATACAAAAGATATACTGGCCGTAAAAATAAATGTTTCACTCTCATTTTGATATTGTGTAACAATGTATGCATCAGCTCCTTGAATTCAACATTGCATGGGAGAATGTTTGCCAGTTTAGTTAAAATATCTGTCATTAAAGCCTTATCTTTTATGTTTATATTACAAACAAGTACTTTGAAATTTATGCCACTGCTGTTGACAGTTAGTATACTACTGTATTGTAAGCATTTGGGTGGAGCAGTATTTGATGAATGGAATACAATAGTCATTATTTCCTGTTCCTTGAATAGAAGCCACGATCATAGTTATTCAACCGGTTCCTAACAAAGGACATTAATAAGTATATCTCAGGAACTGGTACAGTTTCAATAATAGGGTTAAAAAAAACTTCAGTTCTGATATTAGCACTCCCTACAGAAAATAGCATGCTGTTGACAAGAAAAAAAATAATCAATTGATATCCTGTATGGTAGGCCTGACCTTAAACAAATAGTAAATATATAGAAACCCCTATATACAGTAGGGGCCTACTAAACTGAAAAAAGAGGAAAAATATTTAAAAGGTTTATTAGTAACAAAGATACTATACAACACTAACTTTGTCAAAACACATTGTAATGTGTTCCCATTAGTTATTTTCATCTAGCATGAATTTAAATGATTTTGCATACTGTATCAATAGAAATCCTACCAACTGTGGAAATTCCATCCCACATACAAATCTTTGAAGTTTTTAGCAAGTGCTAAGTGTGTTTCTTGGCCAAAAAATAATATAACACTGACAGTAAACATACGGAGAGGCTTCCTTGGTTTAGGCAAAAGCTTACTATTATTGTTGGCGAATTATAGGAAAAATATAATACTTTAGTAACAGATAATTCTGCAGCATGGGAAAAAAAAAGTATTTGTTATAAGAAGATCAAATTATTGAATTTAAGATTCCAACATCTGATTAATACATCATTTATTGGCTGTAAGTATATCTATGGTCAGGTTCACACTAGAGCCCTCATATCTAGATCGGGAACTAACCGTTAGCGCCACCTGAGTGGAATGGTGGCGCCAGCAGGGGAGGGGCCAAGGCATTTTCCCATCGGACAAGCCTGGACCCCCTGCTGTTCGACACCACGACGAGGTTGTCAGTTTAACTATAAAAAAATAATTTTTCTATCCAAGTAATGTTTACCAAACCCTAATATTGTGGACTAAGAACACAATTCCAACCATACTAAGCCATAAAACCCTCCCCGTCAACCTGACTAGGGATTTTTTATTACATGACCCAGACCGAGGCTCTAGTCGATAATGACAACGCAAGAAAGCTCATTTTAATCCAGATCCGCTTCCAACTTACAACCCCTGCTTGGGGAGTATATCTGTAATGGACATGGATATATTTACGAGACCGTAAACAAATCAGTAAACGATATATTTACGCAAAATATATAACACTTGCGCAGTCATACTTTAATAAACTCCCATTGTCGGTCACATAAATTTATCAATTCTGGTTAAAATGTACCTTAACAATAGTTCAACTTTCAGCACTCAAAATTAGTATCGGCCCAAGTTGCGGTGCCCAAGCTGACCACAGCACTGATTTAATTATAATTTTGTTTTTATCGAATGTAATTTAATTTCATATAATAGTATGTAGTTTAATCATTAAATAAATTATTAAATCATTGTTAACTTTTCAAATAAATGTGGTAATATGAGATGAAAATATTTATGTTCTTTTAATTTTACTCCCCTCATTTTTAAATGAACCAAGGCAATTGTTGTTGGATTGCATGAATTAAATGAACACACACTTGACAACTTTAACGAATAATAAATTCCTTTGTTTTACAAAAATTTGTTTGGTCAAGTTAATGTATTTTAACATTACTATAAACACGTACAAGTATGGGGAAGATTTGATTTTCATACACCGTGGATTCACGTACAGTAGACCTACATTCATAATTTTAACTTGAGACCGACCAAAAAGGGCCACAGTAAATCGGTAACGTTGTGAGTTTGAACACCGCGGCTTGGGACGAAGCTAATCTCGAGTGCTGAAATTTGAACTCACATTAACGTACATTTAACCAGAATCTATAAATTACGTCACCGATAATGCAAGTATGACTGCACATGCGTTATTTATTTCACGTAAATATATCGTTTACTGATTTGTATACAGTAATTTTTTCCGAGAATATATGCATAGCCTATCCTATATCCTCGGTATCGGCTGTCCAAGTAATGGAAATTCCCAAGTATATTTAAAACAATCTTACACTAGGCCCAGCCTAGGCCCTAGCTACAGTTACACTACTACAGTACTAGGCCACCTAGGCCTATTAGTATTACTAGCCTAGGCCTACGGCTAGTGTAGTTAGCCTAGTATATAATGTAGGTTTATAGCCTACAGACTAGGCCTAGTTTGTAAGAGAATCGAAAATATTAATATCTTAACAACTACACTTTACACTCACGAACCTGTAGCACTGGATATTCGAGCCATTCCCTTATAGTGTCCTTCTGCCTGTCAAATGACACTTTGTTGATTTATCGACTAGCCTACACTAACACTCGCTTGACAGGACACGCAGAACTTGAAACAGTACAGTTGAAATAAACCATAGAGAGCTTTACTACGAAATTGCATGCCGTCAATAGGACATCATCATGATCAATTATCGATCAGATTTATCGATAGGCCTACGTACGCACAAATAATCTATCGAATTTATTTGAACTAAATACATAATTATGCCTATTTAATTAAATAAGTTCAGTTTATTTGTAATTTTAAATAAACAGTCGCATTGGAATAGGCCTACAGTGGGCCTAATATAAAAATAATAAAATATATATGGACCTAATAATCAAATAACGTCCTCTTTCTCTAGCTTCAAGTGTAGTATAACCTTAATTTCTTAACATAAATGAAATTCGAAATAATAATATAATAGTAATAAATATATAAATAATAATATTATATAGTAATAAATAATGATAATAATGATGATAATAATAATAATAATAATAACAATAGGTATGATGATGATGAAGATAATAATAGTAGGCCCTAATCATTATTATAATCATATTAATATTAAATAAGATAATGATATTGATATTAATAGTGATTTTAATAATAATAATAATGATGATGATGATGATGATGATGATGATGATGATGATGATAATAATAATAATAATAATAATAATAATAATAATAATAATAATAATAATAATAATAATAATAATAATAATAATAATAATAATAATAATAATAA